GTATACTCAAAAATATCAAAAATGATTCGGATCAAAGTAAGAGTAAAATAGCACATTTCCAAGCGAAAAGCATTTATTTTCAAGAACTTATTTCCTGCATATAAATATTGTTATACTCATACTTGATTCTCTTAATATCATTATTAATATACCATATTATTGCATATCTTCAGGATGAAAATTAATTCAAAAGGAACCATTACAAGTTGATGAAGTTCTTTTTTATAATATTTTAACGGGTCATTTAAAATATTTAATCATATTTTTGCATAATAAGGCACTTTCCGCCACTTGTTTGCTTTTATAAAGCTTCCATGGCATAGTTCAAAGAAATTAGTTGTTTTTCTGAATGGAAACAAAAATTTTCGTAAAATGTAAATGGACGAACAGAGTGAAACTAATAAGCATATATTTTTTTTCAATTTCTTTTGAAATATTCTACAATTTTGCAATTCTATTGAAATGAACGCAAAATCATATCATTGAAATTTTTTTAAGAAATTTTTCGTATAATTATTTTTCAAGAATTTTTCATTTTTTTTTTTTTCAAATAAACACGTTAATGACCGCGAATTTAATAAATTCTCAATTTAATTCATAAATACAAAAGAGATAGTAAATAAAATAAAAACAAGGAAATTCATTCAAGTTTTCAACAAAAAAACAAAAGCAGAAATTTATGAAAAATTTTAAAGCGTCTATCAGATAGACGCTTAGATTTGTCATTTTCTTTACGCTTTTCTTTTTAAAAAGACAAGGCAAATGATTTTTATGCAAATTTTTTGTTTTTTTTAAACAAAAACTTGTTATTTTCAAATTTCAAAAGAATCGTTTAGCTATAATTTTACTTAATTTAATTATTTTTTTTACAAAACATTAAATTTTCATGTGTCTATGAGCATAATTATTGTGTTTGAGCATAATTTGTGTTTAAATTCAATTGACGCTATATAATTTTTTTTTTTAAGTTGCTAATAACAATTTATGTAGCTGTTTAGAGAAAAGAAAGAAAAAATTTTTTGAAGGTTTTACTCATTAACAGGGCTATTAATTGTTATTTAAATAACATAAAATTAACAAACAATGAATTTAATTTAAAAAAAAATTTAAGTTGATTTTGGAGAATAAGGAAAAATTAAGAATAAACAGTGATTACTTACATGCCTTAAATAAAAATGGCCTTTCAAGAAATAGAAAAATTTGAAATTATTTACACTAAAAGTAAAAGTATAAATTTTTTTTATAATATTAAAAAACAAGTATATTTGTATGAATGCGTATACAATATTTTCTATATTAAACTCAAAACGCTTTTAGAATAAGATGTTTTAAAATTTTAAATGAATCTCAGATATATAGTATTAATCTCATTTGAAAAACAAGTTACCGGTATATGGTTTCCATTTGACATTGATTCTTATAAGGCCATCTTAATTACACGCGGTATCCGGTATGCGGTTATAAAAAATTCGCGTTACTAGTGAAATTAAACTTTTTTTATTAAAGTATAATTTACGCTTGTACAAAGCGTCACAAACAAAAAAAATAGTGTTATAGCCCCGTGTATTTAACCGTAGTCCTAATAAACAGATTAAAAGCGAATCTACCATCAATTTGACTTATTGTTGTCATTAAACTTTCATTAATAAAAACTTGAATCAAAGCCTAAATCAAATTGGTCTCTTTTTTTTTAAAAATTTGTTGTTTTGCTGAATTTATGACAAAAAAAAAACAATATTTTTAATTAGCTGGTTTTTGTTTTGTTGAATATCATGTTTTTAACTTACAAGATTGTAAATATTTGGAACGTTGCTGTCAAAATTTTGACATAAAGAGATAAGATGAAATCTATTGTACAAATGTCAGATAAGATTTCATCTTATGTTCAGTCCTCGGGCCTTATCTTATATTAAATCATAGATTTAGTCTGCTGAATCATTTGAATCTTACACATTTGAAGGTTATGTATAAAGAAGTGTCAAAATCTTAAAAAATTAAAATTTAACAATTAAGTTCTAATCGATATTCAGCTTAAAGTTAAAGTTCAATTATGTAATAAAAATTAGGCTAAATAACACATTTTTTTTTTTAATTTATTAAAATTTCGAAATACATACACACGGACCTATACCTATATACGCATACGTATGAGTCTAGATTTTATGTTCATCTATGTAGCTATATACATAGTACAGTATGATGGCAATACTTAAACTTATAGATGAAAGAAAGATAAATTAACTGACCTCCAATGACCTTGTACTTGACAAAAAAACAAAAAATTAATTTAGCTATTTTGGAAAAAAAAATCATTTCATTTCTCTTAGTATGGTCATTTTTTTACTCTTTTACTATATTTGTATTTCTATAATTAATATATTGGGTTCTTACATAAGAATAAAATTTTTGTATAAATTTAACTGTATAATGTTTTCTAAACATGTGACTTTGCAATAATTTTGAAAGTTTCTGTTTCCTATTTCGTTGTCTAATTACAAGAATAAAATCAAAAGAAAAAGAAAAGAAATGTGAATAAGCGAGTATAAACCTATTAACGCCTTGGCGTATTGTAATTCAATTTTAATGTTGCCGTCAATTTATACAAAATTTAACTCTTGAATATTTCAGCATATTTCTGTGCCATATGTGCCATATGTGCCACATGTGCCATAGCAACATAGTAAATAGAAATTTTTAATTAATTTCCCTCTACTTGAGATGTGTTTGCGTCTACGCGCCTGTGAAGATAATAAAAGAATCAACTGATCTTGGTAAAAAATCATTTTCGCAATGCAAAATTTTTACATACTCACCCCCGCCTGAATTAATTTGTTACCGAGAGACATACATATGCCAGCATTTCCTCTATAAAAAGTCATTAACAGCACGATATCAAATAGAATCTTCAAATTACGTTTTTTTTTTGACATCTTAGTCGCTGTTTTCTCTTTAAATTGATCCAGTATTATTAATTCATTTCTTGTAGTCATTTCGCTTCTACATTCTGGAATAAAAGACATGAAGTCTTAAAATTTTACATGCCTGAATGTTTCTCTTTATTTCTATTCTTTCCTCAGCTAATATTCTCAACCTAATATTTTTTAGATGACATAGATTTAATCGAATAAATATAAAACGATGAAGGTATCAGTAATCACTTTCTTGTCCAAATATATACATTTAAACTATAAAATTTAATTAATTAATTAATCTTGGTGCATTATTTTAATTTAAAATCATTGTTATTTTAAGATTCGTCTCACAAAACATAAGTTTGACCTACTGTATTTTTTCTGTATTTAATTAACATAATTATACATTCCTTTCTATTTTAAATTATTTTTCTTATTAATGACTTCTTCTAGAGTCAAAGTATAACGAAAATATTAAATTTTATATGACATACGTCATAATTTATTCATATTATGTCAATATAATTATAAATGATTGTGCTCTTTTACAATGCTTAAAAATCAATACAATTTGCTGGTAATTTATGTACAAAATAATACTATAGAACATGAATATTAAAGACTTCTCATGTTCATTCATACATGTATGCGAAAATTTTTAATTAAGTGCATACATAAATAATTATATATGTACATTATCGATTGATATATCCATCTATATTTTATAAAAGTTTTTTAATTGTAACACACGCATATGAAAATAACATTGCATTCCATTTATGTTATATTTTATTGCAATGTTATTGTCAAGAGCAAGGTCTTTAATCATTTATTTCATTTTATTGTATCTTATTGATTAATTATTTTTCTACACATGAGTATACTTACATACAAACTTATATTATAAATGTGAATTGATTTATTTAATTTATAAAACAAATAAATACGCACGTAAAAAGAATCATAAAATTTAATATTAAATCGATTTTTTTTTATTTAATCGAATAATTATGATAATTAATTGCATTTCTTGTAATTTTTTAATAAGAAAATTTAAATCTTTTCTTTCAGAGTCAATTTAAAGTAATGTTATTACAGTCTACTACTGTATATACATATAGGTATTAATATGTAACAAAAATTAATTCTTAGAAAAAGAAGAGGATTAACCTTCATTTTAATTAATTTCATTATCAATTATTTTTGTTTCCATTTGAAACTATACAATATTGATTAAGGTTAGAATTCAAGTTCACATGAAATTGTATAGAAGATTTTTTATGTTTTTTATTAAACGTTATATATATACATAGATAAATATCCCACATATACTGCAGAAAACAATTAATAAAATGATAAATTTTGCACTTTACCTCAGTGTCACTGTACAGGTCTTCTTATTAAATTGCTTTATTGTGTGTTTGTATATTCAGTTGATAATTTTACTTAGTTGCATTTAATTATAAACTGTTCAAAATTCTGCCGATTCGCCGAATATTTCGAAAAATAAATATAATTAAATAGACCAATTGAAAATAAAGCTGTGTTTATAGTAATGAAATCTAAAATTTTATTCGTATGTAGGTTCGAATTTAAAATTATTTGAAGTGGTAAAAATATTAAAATTATTAACAGTTGAGAGGGTTATGTTAAAAATTTTCCAGATTTAATTATTTAAAAATTTTAATAAAAAACCATTCTAAACAATAGATCAATAAAAGAGGCGATCTTTTTAAACAATTTACCAACTCGTTACCTTATGATTTAACAAATCCAGGCTATTTTTAGCTAGAATATGTGATACACAGCGTGAGTTAAAAACTTATTTACTTTAACAGCTGTAATTCGAGACATCGGTCAAAATTTGAACAGGATGTCTTCTTTAATGAGCCACCTCTACGAACTTAAAAGAGCTTTATCAAAAACGTCTTTTATTTTTGTGCATATTTCTGGCTTTTCTAATCATAAAGAAATTTTAAGAATATCAGAATATTTATTTTAAATAAAATTTATTATAAATTTCCCTTATATTTTTCTATATTAAATTAATAAATTATTTTCTCTTCTTTTTTTTTTATTTACATATAGCACGACAATATGGGGTTTGGCACACGTATGGACTGTTGCGGGCAGTTCGTTAAATACAGTTTATTTATAGCAAATTTAATAATATTCGTAAGTATATTTTATTTTATTTAAAATTATTTCGAAAATTATTTTATTTAAAATAAAAAGGATAATAAGCTAGTATAAAAAAAACTCATTTATTAATGAACCTCGGGACTGTCATTCGTCAAAGATTCAGTAAATTAAAATTAAAATTAAAGAAGCAAATTGAATTTCCAGAATTCGAATTTTGCACACATATGAAGTATATTTAATCAAACGCATATTTTTAGTTCTTCTGCAACTTTAATATCGTCGGCTTACCGGATATATTTACTCACATTATTGTGTTAGTCGCACCTCTTGATGGGTTAAGATATTTTTGCAAAATATTATGTTTTTCAGTACGGAATATAATATTTTCAAATTGATTTTATTTAGAAAATTATAAAAATTTTAAATAAAAACACGTGTGACGTCAAGTAATACTGCTAACAGAATTTGAATTCGACTAACAGAATATGAGTTCCAGTATTCGTACACATTTAACTTTTTAAATAACAAAGGAACATTGTTTCAATACATCACATAATAAGATGTGTGTACCCATTTGCAGATTAAAATTTTACTACAGTTCAATGATTTTTAAATGAGGATGGAACTTGATTTTTGATGAGGAGGAACTTGAAAACAATAATATTATTATTAACCTTTTATAAATATTATTAATTACTTTTCTATTGAGGGTACAAGGTTTTTAGCCCAGAAGAAAATTCTGTTTATATTATAAAAATTTAATTTTTAAGTAATTGCGGCCCTTATGATTTTAAGCAATAATTTCACTATAATTTTATGTGATCAGTTATTAACTACTTGTTTGTGTTAACAATACACAATTTGACCAATCATTTACTAAATTCAATTATTTAATTCAACTATGTTATTATTAATTATATGCATATACATACATAATTAATTTATATTATTTTATTGAAAATTTTTAGATTGGCGGTGCCGTTGTATTCTTTTTGAGTGTATGGACATTAGTTGATAAAAGTTTTGTTAATGAACTTTTAGGTACAAATTTATTTTCTGGAGCAGTTTATGTATTAATTATAACATCAATAATAATATGTTTATTATCATTTGTTGGTTGTATGGGAGCAGCAAAAGAAGTTAAATGTCTACTATTGACGGTATGTAATGGAATAATAATTATAATAAAAATTTTTAATTATAAAAATGAAATTATTTATTAATTATTTATTTAATTTTTTTTTTTTTGTTGTACAGTATTTCATTATCGTTTTTCTATTATTTGTTACGATGTTAATTGGAGGAATTTTAGGTTATGTATTTAGAGAGAAAGTAACACAAACAATGAGACAGGTAAATCACAAAATATTTAATTATAAAAAAAAATTATTTTAGAAAACCGGGCACATAAAATATTCGAAATATAGAAATATGAAATAGTTAAAATGCTTTGAAAGGGTGTGAAACTCAAAAATTAATTTGATTCCTATATTAAACAATCTGATAGACTCTGATTTGACCATTTGTAAATTTGAGTAATTTGAGAAATTTTTAGCGTCTCAATGTCTAAATATATCATATTGTAGTTGTTGTTATTGTAGCACCGTTTTTAGGCCTTGTGTACAGAACAAAGGCGGGTACTGATAATATTTAATCTATTTTCCACCTAATGCTGGTCACCAGTGGCCCTCAGATGCGTAGATGCGATCATATTGTGCGTAAATATTGTTCATATTAATTGCTGACATTTTTCTGATATTTATTGTAAAACACACATGTTAGTTACCTTCATATTTCCCTGTTTTAAAATATAATATTCCCAATTGTTTCGATAAATAAAATCGATAGTAAAATCATTCAAAATTAAACGAGAATAGTCTTCAATCCCTTTGTTGTAAATTGTTAATCTCAATAACTGCGATTCTATTTATAATGAGGAGTTCATAATGTGTTCTAAACTCACAACTATTTAGTCAATGAAAATCTGTTTACGAGTACAAAATCAATAATAATTGCATAAATATTTTTTTCTTAATTTCTAAAAATATTTTTCCTCGACAAAAATAATGATGGCAAAAATTTTTTATAATAAGTCACGCGTATATTGCGAACCTTCTCTATTTTTCCTCCCTTTATTTTTTTTGTTTTTTAATATTAAGAAGATTTAATTTCGAAATATTTTTAATTGAATATCAAAAACAAATCGTCATATTTTTTCCATTTGAATGATTTTATAATTATTGTGGTTTAAAATTTCAATAAAAAAAAAAAAATTCTCATACAATACCATGCCAGGTACTTCGGACTATTCCAGTACTGCGGCCAAATACAAAACATTATTGAAGTTCAATAAATGGTACCGACTACTCAAAACCAATTTTTATTTATTTTTTTTATAATAATAATTAATAGAAATTTATTATTTTGCGATTCGTTAATTTTTTAATTTTTAATTTTGTACAATTTCATTAATAGGTGTATTAAAAAAATGTTTTTGTTTCTGTTTTTTGTTTTTGTTGAGAAGGTTCTGGTTTTCAATTTTAATGTGCGAAAATTCAACCTTGTATGCTTCAATAAGTCATTTTTTTTTTGTAATTCTATAAAGTGATTCAAATAAGATTAAGTTGCCTATACGCGCTAATATGTAAAGTTGAAAAAACGAAAATCATTAAGCAATTTTGTGATTTAGCACGAAGAAATACTATTTTTTTTCTTTCTATTAAATGCATATAGTATAAGAACATATACTAAGCTTACTAATATTAGATTGATTATTAAATTTGTTAAAATTAATATCTAATCAAAGTCTAATAGATATACTTTTCCATGAAATTGAATTTTCAATGAATTGAATTTAATTTCCAATTCAAATATGAATTCTAATTCATTTCTCACATACTTATATCGATAATACAATTTTTTAATTAGTATCTTGAAATGCATAATAATTTACGATTTCGAAAACAAATCGATTAAATAATTAATATCACACCCTATTTAACTTATTTAACCTGTATTAAAAGCATTAATACATGTAGTTCAGAAATCGACTACAAATTTTTAACAGATTTTCTAATTAGAATAGAATTAGATCTTAGATAATATTATAAAATTGAAAAATTAAGAAAATTTTAATTGCTTTCTGTTAGTCTGAAAGCTTTTTTATACATTAATTTAATTAATTTCAGAGAATCAATTTAGTTAAAACAGTATCCAATAGTGTCAATTAAAATATACGAATAAGAAGATGTATAGAATTCGGATGTCAATAAATTAAAAATTTTTTATTTATTTTATTTAGTATTTAAATATAATATTGATTAAGATCGAACCGGAATGTAGAGTTCGAAAATTGTTGTTTCCGAACCAATTTGAATAAAATTTGTTAAAGAGAAGAGCTCTTCACATGACCCATAACATATAAGCCCAATTTTCTAAAAATTTTACTCAAAATTGTTGTCTAAACTGAACTAGTCACTTAGCGACAGATTTAAAATACAGATTTTTTTTAAAAATTAATATAGCATCTTTAGAAAACTTTAAATGTGGAACTCTTTCTATTTTCAAATGAAGAATTTAAATTATAGATTAAAGCAACGGTTATAGTTATTTTTTTGTTGTACAAGGGACGAATACGGTTGGACTAATTTAGAAAGAAAACAAATAGTGTGTCATTTGAAGCATTTCTTAAAAAGTTATTGAGAGAGGAAATAAATCAAACAGAAAAACCGTTGAATTTTTCTAAAAAATTTACCCTATTCCGACTTTTTTAAAGTAAGAGCTACTTTTCAGTTCTCTATACATTACACGCTAATATTTAATCGGCTTATAATTATGCAAGTTATAACCAGTTAATTCGAATACATCTTTTTGTCGATATTAAAAACTTTCAACAGGAATTTTGGAGGTAAAATATTAATTTCCGGGTTCCCACCTTTCTGCCCCAGATTATTGAAATTATACCGCGTTACAGGTTCATCCCGTAATTGATTATTATAGATGCTATAATTCCTATACATATAGGAATGAAAAAATCTGTTAAATAGTGTGTTAATCACTGCAAAAAGCACAGAGAGCAGACATCACTGCAAAATATCATTATGGTTTTCATTGTAATTCATAATCTTGCAATCACATCAAATCACAAATATGAGATTATAGATTATAGACCTTTAAATATATAGACAATGTTTTTTTTGTTCTAAATCAATTCGTTTAGAACTTTTAAAATGTAAAAAATAAAATTTAATGAATTGCTTTTATTTTACATCACGTTTTTGCAATTAAAAAAAAAAAATAAAATAAAACAAAAATGGTTTTAATCGTTTTCATAATAAATATCGCGAAAAAAATTAATTTTATTATTCTTGTTTTAATTTGCATGCATTATAAATAAAAAAAAAAAATTATTATTCACAAATTAATATTATGTATTTATGTATGTATATGTATAGGAAATGCGATCATCAATGAGATTATATGGTAGTAGACGTGGTATTACACAAGCATGGGATGAAACACAAGTACGCCTTAAATGTTGTGGTGTCGATTCATGGCATGATTGGAATCGTTTTGGTCCAATACCAGAATCATGTTGTCAAGAAACATTTGGTGGTGAAAGAAAACCATGTATTGCATATCCATCAATTACAAATTTATATAGTCAAGGTTGTTTAGAAATAACAACACATTTTGTTAGAGATCATGCAGCATTAATTGGTGGAGCTGGTATTGCGGTGGCAATATTAATGGTAATTTTTTATTTTTATTTTTTTTTTTTGTATATTATTTAATTATTATAATTAAATATTAATTATTTTTTTTTTTTATTTTTAGATATTTGGAATGATATTCTCTTGCATACTATTCAATATGATAGAATAGTAGTTTTTTTTTTTTTTCATTTTTTTTTTTCATTTTTTAGAAAGAGAAGTTTCTTTTAGTTTCTTTATAATAATTAAAAAAAAAAAAAATTCAAGCAAAAATTTTTGGACCTGTTTGGCTTGTTCAAATTATGTTGTGTTCTTCAAATATGAAAAAACAAGAAGAAGAAGAAGAAAGAAGAAGAAAAAATACATTCCACATTTCACACACATTTATTTTTTTTTATTATTTTTTTTTTTATATTGTATTTTAAATTTTTGATTTTTCCAAATAGATTTTTCTCTAAATTGCTTATTTTATTCTGTATTATATTTATTATATATAAAAATTTTTATATATACATAATATACATACATACATACATACAATATATATACATAATATAACAAAAAACACTGTTGTTATATAAAAATAGAAATAAAATAATAAAAATTTTGTAAAAAAAAAAAATATAAGAATAATAAAAAATTTTAAAATATTTAAAAACAACTTGAAAAAAAAAAAAAATTAAATAAAAACAAAAACAAACAAAAATTGTTATAATCAATTTTTTCTCATGATTCGAATAAAAAAAAAAACAAAAACAGAAATTTTTCAAAATAAAATAATATTGTGAATTACCCACATACATACAAACATATATACATATATGTATCATGTATATCCAAAGCTACAAATGTATTTAAATAAATTATTCACCTGTTTCAATTTTAGCTTTTATTTTGAATGCTAACATGTTCAAAATTCATAAATTTTAACTGTGCTATAGATTTTTATATAACAGTATGGAAATTTTCAAATTTTATAATAATTTTTTTTTTTACTATAACCTCAATCAAGCACGTTATATATATATTATTTCTGTTAAACAGGAATGGAATTAATTCTTAACATTATTATTTTGATAAAAACAAAATTTTGTCCTACAAGAAAATAATTAAATCTCATTACGCAAACCTATTAATAATTAATTAGAAATTCTTCCATTAATAATTATGATTAAAAAAAGGATCATTTCTACAGAATTCTTATAGCATTATTTTTGTCATTTAATATTAATGAAACACATACATTATTCATGTAAATTACAAATTTTACTAAAACAATTTTACATATACATAGTTATTCTTCACTATTTCTTAAAAATCTTAAAAATCATCTTTAGCATCTTTCTAATATAATAAGAAATTAATTAAGAAAATGTAAACAACGAAAAATCTAATAATAAATATAAAATTAAATTTACTAATAATTTATATTGGAAAATTATTTTATTCAATATCATCGCGTAACAAATTTTTAAATTTCGAATTTACAGGATTGATTAAATTTACTTATAGGAACGATAAGACAAATTTGTTATCAATCTTTTAAAAATAGTTATGAAATCTCATAAAAAATCAAATTAAATTATTCTTCCAATTACACCTTATATACATCTTCCATTTGACGAAGTTTATTACATACCCCCAAATTTTAAAATTTTTAAATAAGAAATCTCTTATGTGAAAAATCTTGATATATTCAGAATTTCATAAGAATCAAGAAAACAAAAATGAGAATTGAAAATTGCTTGAAAAAAAATACACACTTAATAAATTTAAAATCTTATTGTACCTTTTTTTTTTTTTAAATTATTAATATTATATTTGATTAAATTAAAATAAAAAACTTTTTAAATTTTTATAAAAAAAAAAATATTAATTAATTTTTCCATTAATAAAATTTGTAAAGTGTATACTTTTATTTCTACTTTATTTGAATAAATTGAACTTGAAGAAAATAAAAAGAAAACAGTCAATAAGTAATTAGTTTATTGTATAAAATTTGCATTTAAAATTAAATAATGTAAAACAAAAAAAAAATTAATAAAAATTTGTACAAAATTCACTTAATTATATTGACATATAATTAAATTAAAATATTTTTTGTTTTATTTTTTTGACTAATAAATTCTTTTAAATTGTTCTTCAGCATTTTAAGTAGCATAATATCAAAATTACCAAAACGATAATATTTTTGATGAGGGAAAACTGGAAAATTACAAAGCTTAAATTAATCATCAATTTTATTGATTTTTATAATTTAAATTTAAAAATTTAAATTAGATACCCTTATTTTTTCCTTATATCAAATGTAAGGCACTTAAGAGGAGGTCCAAATTGATGGTAAATAAAAGCAACATAAAGGAAAAGAAAGGAACGTTTATTCTTCAATAAAGAGTCGTAATTTTTAATTAAATCACTGAAATGTTGATCACATGAGAAGGAAAACTCATAAACAAATAGTGAAAAATATCAAAAACCTTTGTAAATTCATCTAAAAAATTCAAATGTTAATTTTTTTTAATTATAAAGTGATTAAAAAATCAAGTTGCAAATTTTGGTACTTTTCTGTCTAAAAATGCATTCTCGAAAATTTAATTAGAAATTCATTTTAGACATATTAAAATTCAATTTAGACATATTATGAATTTTAGACATAGAAAATCTGGAAAATTCAGCATATAACTTTTAAATTTGACATTGAAATTAATTAAGAACTACAATGTAGATTTTATAGACTTCAATGTTCGGACTAGAGTTTCAGTTCAAAATACAATTATTGGATATTAATGGCTATGTTACTAATTTCTGCACATTTGTAAGTATGTTGCGAAAACTTTTGAGATTTAATTTAGTGTATATCTGAATTATCGAAAATCCCCATACTCTAATTGAAATATAAAAGTTGTGACTGCATTTTCAAAAGAAACTCAATCTTGAAACTTAAATTTAAAATAAATTTTTTTTTTTATTTTATTGTTAAGTTTTATTGAAATTACTTGAACAAAAAAAAATTCATATATAAGAATAATGGTTTTTTTTTTTGTTTTTGTAAAAGTTTTCTTTTATTTTCGCTTAATTTCCCAATTGGTCCAATTTAACTTCATAAAGAAATCAAATGTATGTACATTGATCCAAAGATTTTTTTTTATAGTTTAACTTAAAATTTAAAACAAGCATTTTTCTTTTTTTTTTCTATATATATATATATAGGATTTATATTTTCACGTATAAAATGATTCTTTTTTTTTTTTTTTGCTTTTTGTTCGGTTTATTAATAAAAATCAAAGTGTTTTTTTTTTTGTCTCTAAATTTTTCTCATATTGATTTTTCATAAATTTTCCTCTTTTTTTCTTTTTTATTTGTTTTTCTTTTTGTAACATTTCAACGCCTAAATTTTATTTTGTTAGAAATATCTTTTTACACAAAATATAAGATTAAAGTTTAAAGTAATAATAGTAATGTAAATAACATTTAAGCAAACCTTAATTTCGATAATAAAAGTAGATTTTTATTTTGTTTTACACTAAAAAGTACAATAATTATATTTTTATTTAATTTTCGCATTTATCTAATTAAAATTCCTCGAATGGAGAAAGAGAGAATATTTACTATAAGAAAATAAAAACAGTAATTTAATGAAACTAATTTATTAAACTTAATATTTTTTTTTTTTATATCTAAATGAAAAATAAAATTAACAAATTACATACATTTATTATGACTTGGGCAGTAGAGTATTGTTGCCTGTATTTTAAATTATTTTATCCATTTAAATGGAAAATTTTTAAAAACTTATTCCCTAAAAATATATCGTTTTATTTTTTTTTTTTTCATTTTAATAATTATACAATTTTTTTCCCTGAAAACTGAATAATCTGAGATATGGAGGACGGTCAAAAATATAAACAAATTGTAAATTATTTTTCTATTCTTTTTGGTTATAAAAATTCATAATATAAATTCAAACAATTTAATTAAATATGATTTTAATTTAATTATGCAGATTTTTAGAAAAAGTATAACATGCAAAAAAAAAATCTATAATATAAAAGTCGAATCTTTAATTTAAAGAAAAAAAAAAAAGGAAATTCTAAAATATTTAATACCAATATAATTGTGAAGTATTTTTTTTAAATAAATTCATTACACATTTTTTTATTCTGGGTTAAGCGCCATTTTTTAAATAAAATTGCATATTTTCAAAAAATTCACACAACCCACTTTGAAATTTTTCAATTTTAACAATATTTCTTTATGTTTTTATAATTATATCAATAAATTCTTTCCAAAAATTTTATATTATTTTTCCAAAAAAAAAAATTCTTTGTACAAGTTTTTGCTAAATTTCAAATATAAAACAAATTTCAAAAGAATATTTTCTTGTAAAAAAAATATTCTAAACAAGAAAAACCGGATATTCAAATTTAAAACTTTTGCAATTATAAAAAAACAAAATATGTAAATTTCGAATAAAAACAAAACAAATAATTTCATAATTATTATGTATATTATTATGTAATATACGAAAAATAAAATAAAACATTTCAAATGTGTTATTATATAATAAAAAGAAATAAAATTATTGAAATTACCCATTTAAAATATTTAACAAGAATAAGTTTTGTCTTCAATTTTCAATTTAATTAATTATGTAAAATAAAAATTTGAAAAGGTTTTTAAACAATTTTTTTTTGTTTTTTTGTAATTTATAATACAAATTTAATTAATAAAGATTAGAATTAGAATTATGCAATTGAACTTTTTAAAAGCGTTCATGAAATCAAGGAATCGCACCTCATTTAAAAAACTAAATTTTAAAATCTAGATTTCTTAATATTTATTGATAAAAATATGAAAACATTTAGGAGATTTTTTTTTAGCACGAACCAAAACATAGAATAATTATCCTTATATTATATTTTAACACTAAAATCAAGTAATATCACTTTTGTTTTTTTTTTCATAGATATGAATAATCTAATAACATTTTTGAAAATCAAGCTATTACTCAAAATCAATTAATTAAACTGAGATCCTTTTTTTCTTTTTGTTTTGTTTAAAGGATACAGAATTTTAATATATATTTTAAAGAAATTATAAAATTAAAAAATTTAATTACTTTAAGACCGATTTAAAATTTTTATCTTCAACTTAATCCACTATTCTATGTCTAGGAACGTACTTGATCATTACTATTTTTCTTTTGTCAAATTTGTAATTTTTAATTTGATTCTATTATTTAATTTTTTTCCCCCTTTTTAGTGTTTCTTTTTTTGATGCACTTTCAGTTCCGTGACAAGAGCAAATTTTTTACCACAATCATCACATTCGTGTCTTCTTTTTAAACCTAATGCATTCTGTTTGAATTTAAATTTTAATTTTGTTGGGGATTCAGATTTTAATTTATGACCAGAATGGGATCGTTGATGCATTGCTAAATGATTTGATTGATAAAATTTCTTATGACAATATTCACATTCAAAACGTTTCGCTTGATCATCTGAATTATCTTTGTTTGGTGAAACTTTAAAATTTGTTTGCGTTTGTTGCAATTCCTGTTTTAATAAAGTTTCTGTATTAATATTTGTTTGGGATTGATTTTGTTGCTGTTGATGTTGTTGTTGTTGTTTTTGTGGTTGTTCCTGTTGTTGTGGTTGAATTAATATACCATTATTTTTATTTCCTATATTTATTTCGTTAGATGTTTTATTATTTTCTGCGTTAAGATTATTAATTAAATAATTTTGTTCATTATTTATGTATTGTTTTATACTAGGTACTAAATTCGAAACAGTTCCGCCGCTAATATCACTGTTGTTACCAAGTTTTAATAATGTTTCGTTTAAATGTGTCAGTTGATGCGCATTTAATGTAGTTTGATTTGTAAAATATGCTGAACATATATGACATTGATATAAATGCTCATTACTGTGGGTATTTCGGCAATGCATTGTTAAATGACTTGATTGTGAAAAACACCTATCACACTCCGTGCATTTAAAAGGTCTTTCGCCCGAATGCGTTCTTTCATGGGCTAAAAGATGAGATAACTGAAAAAAACGTTTTCCACAATCCTCACATCCGTATGGTCTTATTCCAGTATGTTTTAGCATATGTGCGTCCAAATTACTTTTTTGCGGGTAAGCATTATCACACATATTGCATTTATAAGGTTTTTCACCAGTATGGGTACGAAAATGCGTTACTAAATTTATACGTTGTGCAAAGCATTTTCCACATTCAGGACATTCGTGTGGTCTTTGTTTTGATTTGACATATTTTGGGTTGATGGGTTTTTTAACATTGGGATAGTTTGATAAAAGTGGTATTTTATACTCTCCAAGAGCTGCAATTTGAGGCAAGATTCCAAGCAGCTGAAAAGAAGCAGCTGGATTTAATTGTGATACTATATCTAATTGAGATACTCTATGTTCAGAAACTTTCGCAGAAGTTTCTGGTATTTCTTCTAGTTGTTTGGGTATTTCTGATGTACTTTTTGACGTGGTTTGCCTTTCTAATATTTTCTGACTGATTTTTTCCGGCTCCACCTGGCTATCTGAAGGCTGAGGTAAGCTTACCGTTTTTGCAGGCAATTCATTTTTCGTAGAATCTTTTGGTGGTGCAGTTTGTTGTTGGATTGTGCTTTGCATATTTTTAATAACATTAAAATCCACGATCTTTTTACAAACCGAGTTTTTGTTTGTATTATCTTTTAGATTCTCTCTGATTGCATTGACTGTTTGTTCAATTGCCAATTTTTGTTTTACACTATCTTCAGAAGAATCATCTGAATCAGACGATTCAGAATCATCAATTTCAATTGTAGGTATTGTCTTTTCACCATTCTTATTCTTTTCTTTGTCTTCATTTTCGTCGTCATCATCGTCATCATCATCGTCGTCATCGTCATCATCACTTTCGGATAACTGTAGTGGAGCTATGTCTATATTATGATAATCTAATTTCTCTTTCTTGAATGCGTCCAACTGGGAACCTAAAATTTATATGACTCTCATTTAAAAAGGAACAAATTTTAAAATAAAATCATTTACATACCTCCATTCATAAAATCATCAACGTTGATGTCTTTATGAGTTTTCTTATAACAAATACTAAAATGTTGCAGGAAACTCTCATATTTATCAAAATTCTCATTATTGCATATATTGCAAATTATCAAAACTTCATTTACTGGTTGCAAGTAATATATTTCACCACATTTAACATGAAAACTAAAAGCGTTTTTTAGGTTCTTTATTTGTATTGATGAATTAACACCTCCTTGATTCATTTTTATAACGTTGATAGCTGAAATTGAAAGAAATGTAAAGCGATGCTCTTAAATCAAGCTTTTCGTATTTTTTGATTTTGAAATGCAAAAATTTTATTGTAAAAAATCACAACATTGATGACCTTGAATTATTTCCTGGTTTGTATTATTCTTAAGTCGGTCTTCAATATAAAATTATACACGAGGAGAAAAGAAACTTCAGGTTAAAATGGAAAGCCTAAGAATGCAATTTCAAATTTTGGTAAAACCGCAAATTAGTTCAGGCCAATTTGATCTACCAACAATCCAAAATCCTTTCTAAGACAATCTATAAATTCTTGCCAAAACTCAAAAAACCGACACTTAAATAAAATTGATGCTGCCACTTAATTTTGCATAATCATAAGATGTAAGGATATATAAAATTTACAAATTTAAAATTTTACTATTCGAAAACAATGGCAAGCTAAAAATCTTTTGTAAACAAAATTTAATTAAATTAGGTTGAAATTTTACCCACCGTTCTATCCATTAAATAATGTAGACAATTATTTTGAGTAATTAATACTTGAATATATTTTTATTAAATATCTTTTATTTAATATAAAAGGTTTGGTAAAATATTTATTATTTTGTTTGCAAATTTTTTTCCGATGGATACTCAGTTTGACATTTGTAATATATTCAAGAAGTAGCAGCGTTAATTATTAAAATGTTGCTACACATTTACGATATAAACATTAGCAGAATTTTGCGTTAAGTTAAACTTGTACTCATTTACTTGTCAAATTACAATATTAAAGTTTTTTAAATACCTACATGGTTATAATTTTACGTGTAATGCTCTACTAACGTTAAATTTTCTTTTGTTCAATATTCCAACAATAATTATGTCCTGTATTTTTTATTTATGTTAAAATATTCCGGATGCAATCTTTTTATTTTTTTATCAAAGATAGAATAAAAGAAATTGAATGTAGCGATTTACTAATATAAGGGTTCCACTCATTCGCAATATTCTATTAAGTTGCAATTGAGTATTCTATTTTGACATTTACAGATTGTGAATACTTATGATAATAATAATTATAAATTTCTTAAAGACTTTTACCAAAATATTTCGTTTACCCTATTTAAATGGCAGCTTGAAGCGCGCTTGAAACTTATTTTTTGTCCATATAAACTTTACTTAACTTGAAGCCGACTTCACTCAACTGAATCAAAAAAAGTGTGCTTACTTGACTTTAAATGTAAAAAATGACTTAAAATGTAATAGCCAGATATTCTCAAGAACTCAAACTGCTATATAAACCAGGTAATTAATTTTTCAATATTTTAAAGTTGAAAGTAACCTTTTATAGACAAAGTAATCTTTTATAGAAGCATGAAATTATAAATCATCTCATTATCTGACAAACTTCTAATTTTAATCTTGTGAGGAGACCTAAACTACTAATAAAATAAAATGTTACTGCTCAAACGCAAACGGCCAAAATTTTCCAAAGTTATCAAATAAATTTTTATTGATTCAAACAAATATTGTAGATGGTAAATCTATGAATAAAGTTTTTTCTTAAAAAAAAAATGTGGCAAACCGGAAAATTAATGATTTGATTCCCAGAAATTACAAAATTTTATAAATTCAGAAGCTAAGATTGTTAAAATATTATGGATGTTGATGCTAAAAAATCGTTTCTGTCTTAAATCACACATATGTATTTAAATAGTGTTGTTGAATCGATTTTTAATTAATTTATTAATAAAACAATAAGATGAATTTATTCACCTGTTTTACATGCCATGAACGAAACTGCATTTCTTATTTACATAATGTAAATACATACATATATACGCACATACAAAGTTTCAAATTAAAAATTAATGCTACGCTCCTAAATTAAAGTTTTTTTCATTCTTGCAAGTATATAATAATTGTAATTTAGAATCAATTTCAATTATAATCTGTTACGCAATTAAACCTTAATTTTTAAGTTAACTTGAATCGTAAAAAAATATTTTAAATTAACTTTTAATATAAGAGTTTGCATTTAGATATGTTTTTTGTTAACATACATACATTCATATATGTATGTATTGCTATTAACAAATAAATAAAAAAATTAGTTTTATGTAGTTAACCACAACCTACCTTAATTTCAATTCAACACCAAAATTTCTAAAATATGTACACAATAATATGTAAATGTGTGATATGTAAATACCCAAAATTCCTTGTAGTTTTACATGTTTTTGTATATATTTTCTATCCCAAAAACAAAAAATAAATAAAAATTAAAAAGCTTTTGATTACCATTCTGTTAATATATATATATATATATATACATGTACATATATATTTAACCAAATAAAAAATATGGTGTTTCAACATGTACGACTCCATCTTTGAACGCTATAAAAACCATTATGTTGTATGTAATTTTATTTAATGAAATAATTTGAAATTGGAAGATATGTATATCATATATGGCATACAAAATTAGAACATAATAAATCTTTTTCTTTCAATAATAATTTCAAAATTATAAGTTTTCGTATTAATTTCTTATTATATTTAGCATAATTTACTAAAACTTACATTGTGTGACTTATTATGAAAATGTCAAAAACTGTTTTCTTATTTGTTGGCAATACTTTTACATATTTTTTAATAGATCGCAAAGGCGGGAAAACGGTAAACTAAACACAATAAAGTGTAACATGACAGATTAATAATATCAAAATTCAAGATTTTAAGATAAAAATACTTTTTTCTTGTTTTTTTAAAAAATGAATTTAATTTATCGACTTTGGGGTAAATACTTGATAAAAAAACCCAGATATGATATACATACATACATATAGAAAATAGAAATGTAATTAAGCAATAACTATTAATATGTGGCATAAATTTATTGTAAAATTGATCAGATTTTTATGTTGATGTGCGTCTAATGCTGGGGGGTAAATATTCTTTTCCTACATTACATTTTATATATGTAAGTTAAAAGTTTTTTATTTGAATTCAAAATTTAAGGTATCTATTCTGTTTCTAGAGCGATTGATTTTGGGCTACACATGGCCACAGCTAGAAGATCAGTTTACAATTTAAAGCATAATGAATGGAATTCTCAAATTGTAATGCTAAATACATATTTGAATTTCTGATTTGGTAAGGAAATATTAAATTCCTCTTAAAATTCTAATGAAATTGAATAAATGGAATTAATACCCTAAACTTTAAGGTAAACATAATGTAAGTATGTAAGTAAGGAATTTTTTTCCGAACAACATAAAATATCCTTGAGGTACTATAGTCAGAATTTAATTTAATAATATGAAAAAAGTACAAACTTCTTGCCTTATTGGATAACCTTTTTTTTCATTATTAACTACAATATATTTAAAGAATTTTTAACGAAAAATATACTTTTATACATGTTTTCTTTTTTCGTCAATTTAAGTATAATAATATAAATTCCTTTCACAAATTTAATACAATTTATATATATACGTAGTATATATTCAATTACCATACCTATAAGTTAAGTTAAGAGAAAAAGGATAATATACTAACAATATGTGTACTTAAAAAAAGCTTTCCTCAGTATATACCTCAATAATTTATATGTTTGTCTATTTATTTTTTTCCTTTTCTATATTTTAATTCCCATATTTTTTCCAACCAGTTCAAGTTATAAGCTATAAGAGCCTACAAATTACTGTATTATAACTAATAATAAAAAATAATAATATATATAATAAAAATTTTATAACTTATAGACATTATAAATTATACTTTTTATATATTCAGTGTTCAAAATTCTTAAATTTTTTTTTGTTTTCAAAATAAATTTATAACTCTAAAAATATAAATTTTTCCCACAATTTTTTCTTTTTGGTTAAACTGTGATAATTTTCTAAAAAGCAAAGAAATATTTAAAAGAAATTCAAATGAAAACACAAAGATAAAGGAAAATAAATTTTTTTACAAATCTGGGATTCTGTGCAAATCAAGCGCATAAAGAGAAAAAAATTTTTTTTTTTGGATTTTCTTATTTTTCTTAAAATTTTTATAAATTTTTTTTATTTTTTATTTTTAGTTATATCATGCTTTTTAATAAATACTGCATACTGCATAATATTAAAAAAAAAGGAAAATTTCTTCATAATATCTTTGAAATTTTATATGCAGAAAACATAAATTTGAAAACAAAGGAAATAAAGAAGAAAGGCTAAAAAGGATAAATTGTGTTTTTGGAGAAAATAATACAATAAAGAAAAAAAACTAACAATAAATTTAATTATAATTAATTTTTCTCAAAATGTGATTTTAAAATAATAACAATAAGAAAAAGTTTTATTCAATTAAAACATATAAGATATATGCATAAAAGTTTTATTATTTCAATTAATTAAAAAATAAAAAAGATATTTAAAATATTTGCAAAATTTGTTATTAAAGGACTTCCCTTTTAATTAAGGGAAGTCCTATATATCTTTTTTTTATTCATTATAAAAAAAAATTGAATTGAACTTGAAATAAAATATATTTATATATATACATATATATATAACAGTAAATTTAATAAAAAAGTGAATATTTAAAATTAATTTATTGAATATATTGTACCATAATTTATAATATATAATAAAAATTTACATTTATAATGTTATTAAAACATATCAATAAATTGTTGAATTATTGTAAAAGTAAAAAATTAAATACAATTATTACAGATTAATATAAGAAATAGTATAGAAGAATGCAGATTTATATGTACATAAACTTATATACACAATATATTAAAAAATTATAAATAAAAGAGATATTAAATTATTTAATAAAAAATTATTAATTATTAATTAGTATAACAATTAAAATAAAATAAACCAGAAGTATAAAATTAAAATTCTAAAAAAAAAAATAATTATATTTTAAAATAAGTATAAGAAATTAAAAATTATATTTTATAAAATAAAATTTATATTTATATAGATTATGTCCCAACTATGAAACACATATGATATGTAAATAAATATATATATATAATAATAATAAATTAAACATCAATTTAATAAATAAATATTTAAATTATTTAATAATATATTTAATAAATTTATATATTAAATTATTAATTTACATAAGGGAAATAAAAAAAAAATTAAACAATTTCCCTTTTATTATTTTTTTTTTTTGGTTTTTCATATTATAATATATGTAAATATATTTGAATATTACAAATATATATTATTATGTATATTATGTATATTTTGTATCTACATAAAAATATTATGTGTAGAAAATAAAAATATAAAATATTTTCAAGGACTTTCTAAAGGACTTACATATATTTTATATAGATTATATATACAATTGCATATACATATTATATACATAATATAATATATATAATATAGTATTATATTTTCAAAATAACATATAAATATTACACTATATTTATTTTCCTATTCCTATATATAATATACATAATTCGTTGTGTTTCATTTTATTCTTTATTTATTTTATTCTTCAATTTACATTGTTACTCTCAAATTGCAAAATATAATATTCGATAAAGAGAAAATTCTAAATAAAATTACATATTAAATATTTATACACTATAATATATATAGTAAATAATATAAAATAATTTAAGTATAAATTATAATCAGAATTCAAAATGTATATATTATTAATATTATAAAATCAAAAAGAAAAATTGAAATTGAAATTGAAAAAGTGATAACAAAAAATATTTAAAAATAATAAAAATAAAAAGAAAAAAAAATAATCAAATTTTAAATTAAACAAAAAATATATTATAAAAAAATATTTAATAAAATTATAACTTTTAAAACAAAATATAAATAAAAAAAAAATGGTATATTTTAAAGCACATAATTTTAAATAAGAATAAATAAAAAAAAAATTAATGGTTATTTTCTAAATGAAAAAAAATATATACATATATATATTATAAAATTAAATATGCTATTGAAAATTGCTCAGAATTTAAATAAAAAAAAATTATAATAATTAATTAATTTTAATTATATATAATACACATGTTATATATAATTAATATTTCGTTATATATATTGAACATAATATTTAATGAATATTATAATAATTAAATAAAAAAAAAATTAATAAAGAAAAATTTTAAAAATTTATTTAAAAAAATTAAAAATTTTTTTTTTCTTTCCAAAATTAAATTATGATTAAAATAAATAAAATAGTTCTTATTACAATATTAATATTAATGAAATTTAAAATGGTAAGCTAATACTATACGTATATATTATTGTATTTTAAAATATAATATAAATGGCAATAAAGTCAAAATTAATAATTGAAATGATAATGATAACAATAGTTAAATTATAATATCTTGACCTGCAATTTTTTCAATAATGCATTTGGAATTTTCTCCATTTATGGCACGAGAGAGCATTTTAAAAGAACACTCTTTCGGTGTTCCCATGTGAGAAACGATTAAGTCTGGTTTAGCTTAAAGAAGGCATTCAGCATCAAATTAAACATTCTATAAACTTTGTGATCCATATATTTTTCTTTTTTTTTAAATTGTATTAAAAAGTCCATTAGCCATTAAAGATTTTTTTTTTGTACATCTTTTATTTCTCGCAAACAGATTCAGAGTCAATAAAAATTGAGCTGACGGTTTCAATTTTTAATAACACATATCCTCTGTTACATTATAATTGATAATTGATCAAACTTAAAATACGACTGAAAATATAATTTATTTAATTGGTATGTGAATATATGAAAATAACAAAAATTTATTATTGTGACAATGTTATAATGGAACAGTATTTTGGTTATTTGCCATTTATAATAAAATCTAATACATAGTTATATATATATATTATATATAAGATGCAAATATTACAAATATAATTTGAAAAAAAAAATATCAAAATAGAAAATTAATTCTTATGAGGTCAGTTTAAAGCAAACATAATAATATATGGAAAGGGTCCTTAAATAGACCAAGTTTTTGTACCCAATAATATTATTTTTTTTAACAATATAAGTAAGCGGATTTTATTTTTAAAAATACAAATAAAATTTTGATAATATCTTAATATCTACATACCATATACACATGTACCATACACACATATATAAATGCTTCATCTTCTGATTCAAATAGAGCACGGAGTATATATAGTTTTTGTTTTTGTATTTTTTAACAAATCTCTGAAATTTTTTACCCACTTCAAAATTTTTATATGATACCCTATGACATTTTCTTAATTCCTCTTCTTTTGAATGTAACCATCATCATGTTAGAGCTTAAAATGTAAAGAATATCATGTTGTATCAGAATGTAACCATCATCATGTTAGATTTTGATATGTAAAGAATAATAAGGAGATCAATTTTTTTTTTTTGGGTCAATAGGTTATTCTCATTCAAAAATTTATATATAACGGGCATATATACATACTCGTATACGCTATGTGTGTATATGTATATAAGAAATAAGTAAATATTAATTTTGTTTTTTTTTTTTTAAACATTGTTCAAAAAAATTAAATTTTTCAAAAAATATTTAAAATTTAATATTGAATTTTGATTTAAATATTTTTACAAATATAAAAATTAATTCATGAATTGCATAAATTTGGGCTAATTAAATAAAAATTGTATAAAAAATCAATTTTTTTATATTTAAAATTTTCAATATTGCTTTAATCTGCTTTTTTAATATTTGAAAAAAAAAAAACAACTTAAAAAATTCCAATTTTTCGAGAACAAAGAAAAATCAAATATTGCAAATAACAAATTATATGTGCAATAGAGCAATTCAATTACAATTTCAAAAATAATTAATATTAAAAAATTAAATATTTTATAAGTTTTTAAGAATTTGTAAAACTTAATGAGGTAAACATGTAAAATCCGCGCGATATTCTTTCCTTGTTTATTGATATTCAAACTTTTTTCGTAATACATACGCTACAATAATTGACACCTACGTTCCAAATAATTGTAATATGATATTAATATTACGGATAAATATTTAAATTTCGGATAATATAATATAAAGTACATTTGTTTATTTAAAGTTAACTGAATTTTATGACAAATCCAAATATTAATCGTAGTAGTCTAATCTAATTTCAATTAGGCACATGAATTTTGCCTTTCTTTAAAAATTTAGCGGAAGGAAACGAAATATATTAAAAGCATCAGAGCACATAGGAAGAATAAACTTACAATGTATAAAATAATTTTGAAATCTCATTTAAATAAATTTAACTTTAATAAATCATAAGAATTAAAATAAGCTTGTATCATCAATAAAACTATTCAATTTTTGTTTTATAAAACAAGATACACAAACATTCAATTAGATATTTTGCGTAAATTTTAATTTAAAATATAAAAAGTAAATTTTAATTGGAAAAATGTCGGTAAAAAAAATAACATAATCATCATTTATTATTGTTAAAAAATATATATATATATACGAGTATATATATATATATATATAAAAGAAAGTATAAGAAATGATAATTTTAATCAAGGTTATTTCTTTTTCCTTTATTTTTTTTTTGTTATGATATAAGGTTAAATTTGAGGGACAAAAGTTCATTGAAAAATAAGTTTTTTAATATTGTTATAAGTATAAATATTTTCATATATCTATATATACATAATAGATATATTTGCTTAATATTATTATTAACAAAAAATATATAAAAGAGGAAAAATGTGTAAAAGTTTCTTTTAATAAATTATGTCCTTCAACTTTCTCAAATAAAATATACTTTAGTACGTATAGGTATTATCCTTTTTTCCTTTTATGAAAATCGATTTATGCGTATACTACATATACAAAAAAAAGGAAAGAAATGAACTATACACATATATTTATAAGAAAAAGTAACTTTTGTTTTTATTAGAAAACAATTAAATTGAATTTTATATGTGTGTATGTAGGAATGCGTGTATATGTAAATTTTATGGCTTTTTTTTAATTAAGAATTTAATTATAATTTGAATTCAATCTTATATTTAGTTAATGACAAATTTATAATCTGTAATAACTCTTTTTTTTAATATTAGTAATAAAAAAATAAATCAATTTTCATTATTGTTAGAAATTTTTTAAATTTTATTGTTAAATAAAATTTTTGACATTATAAAACAATATAAACAAAGCATAACTGGTATTTAATCAAAAAAAAAAATTTAATATTTGAAAAATTTCTCTTATCTTGTATAGGTTTTAGGCAACAACCCGCCTTATCTCTTTTTCTCATATTTATCGCTCAAGGCATACAAAAGCTTCTCCCACTCTGTCTACAATTTCCAAATTGTTTGTATTTGAAGTTAGTGATGAATTCCAAAGTGACATGATATGCAAACGTCATACATCGCAATCTATGTTGTCTATATTTAAATATTAATATACCTATGAAAAGTAAAATTCTAATATGTCAATTGTGAAAATTTTTATTACTTTTGAAACATTAAACTATTTTTGTGATTTACATGATCGTCTAATATTTGACATACCGGAAAATTGCCGGAATTTGACTTACCGAAAAATATCATCTTTTTATACATTTTTCGTATTAGACGAAAAATTTTTTGTTTTTAAGTCATTGCGGGCTTCAAGCACACACATTTTTGTTATTTTCATTATTACATTTTCCTGTATATAAATATATTTTGCGTATTTTTAGGAGGTTTACGTTTATTAATCTACATGAAATATACCTACAGTAAAACAAACTAATTACTCAATTTCAAACTGCACTTAAACAAAATTTATGAGCAATTTTTGATTTCTTTTTCTTTTTAAATAACTGTTATACATTTGAACTGTTATATAACTTTCAACTGTTATACATTGGAAATTTACAAAGTAATAAATGCTTCGTTTATAACAAGATAAAATAAATGAAACTTTACAATAATTAAATAAACGTTTATAGCATAGTTTTGGGCTAATATTTATTTTGATAATTTTTCGCATTCTATACAGGGTACATAAAAGTATCAATTGTAATTTTAACGACAATTAGTGGAATTTTTATTTCTTCAAAAATTTTTTTTTGTAATACAATAAATTTAATTTGATATTTTATTTACCATCATTTTATTTATTATATTTTATATTTTGTTTAAATTAAAATTCCTATATGTATTTAAAAATAAACTTAACATATATTTGATATGTTTGTTTTGGTTTATGAGGCTGGGTGATTTATAACATTCTCTTTGTCCTATATACGTCATTTTTGTAGTGTGTGATATAGAAAATTTTTTTGAAAATATAAAAATAAAATAAAATTTATTGCAAAATCAATATAAATTTTAATTTCATTTATTTCAGGTGACATCAAATAAGTATTGTTCATTGCAATCAGTTACAGGCCAATCAAGATATTTTATGTGTGGTAGACATGAATATTGTTGTACATTTGGATGCTGTGTTCACTTAGCATTTCAATTTTATCAACTTTGGTATTATTGGTATGTAAAAGAAAAAATATAAATAAATATAAAAAATTAAAATCGTTTAAGTAAATTAAATTTAATTATTCAAATTTTTATTTAAAATTTATTAGGTTTTTAATTTATTTAATTAAAGCAAAAAAAATATAGAATGTTTTCATTAACAGTAAAATTTATTGTTTTTTTGAAAACGATTTAATATACAATAATCTAATACAGGGTGAATTGTGTATATCAATATGTGCAGGAAAATACAGAGTATTTTGAAAAATTTATAGAAAATCAAAATTTTCTATCTATTTTTAAAATATGAACATTTTGTTGTTAAGGAAAATATGAATCTTAATTGAAAAATTACTCTTAATTTAATTACTCGTTTAATTCGGTCTTCATAGTTTTTTACTCTTACATTAAATGTAGACAATGGAAAACATGTATTAAGAAATTAGCTGATAATAAAATAGCTAATATGAATAAAAATTTTTACCGACTACATTGCGTACAATAAGAGAGGTTATGTGATAGCACAAAATTTCGAATGTCCAGTTTTCGGGGATGTCTGTCTGTCAGTCTCTCTACTTTTAGAGAGATGTCTGTTAGGTACCAGCAACAGGATATTTACTACGGGCCAAATTCACACTATTGCGCATATAAAGAGAAATAATCATTCAGTTTGCGTGAAATTAAATATATAAATTTAGGGTTTTAAAACAATGAACTCATAAAGTTTTTAGAAACATCAGGGCTCGGAAATCGAAATAGGGTCCGATTTAACATTTTTTATCATACCCATGGAATTTATTGGTCGAACTTCTTGAAAAATTAATATTTGAGTTCAGTTTACTATACCACCAATTATTGGCAAACTTTTCAGGGAATTGACATGGTATAAAGTGAAACTCTAGCAAGAGCCAAATTTACATTTTTGTAGGTATTTTAACTAAAAAGCTGACTAATGTGCTTAAAATTTGAAAAAAAGAATTTAAAAGTAATTTTCATAATCTCATACAACATTTTCGCTAAACTAGACAATACGCTTTGCGGTCGCTTATGTGTTTACCACATCAGATGTTTTTTTTTAAAATAACCCGATTTTTTTTTTTAATTCTCTATGTTCTACTTTTATACAGACTAATGATTTGATCCAAATTTATTTTTTATAACTTTAGTTAAAATAGAAATTCTGAAAAAAATTTAACTGCAAATATGAACGTGATTTTTACATTTAAATTCTCTCTTTCAAATAAGTATAGAAAAACAAACATAGAAACTTCAATGTCATTTCGTAATTATATATACTAACATAATATATATATATATAGTGCAGCGTTTAATATATAGCTAGTAACCAAAAAAAAAATCTAGATTTTATTAGTTAACCTAAATAAATATTATATAAAATACTCGTACAATATAATGTTGAATATAAAATTATTTATGATTTATGAACTTTAAATGATAGTTTTTTTTTTATACAATTTATTTATTCTTGTGTAACCACTGGTAAAAAAATTTTTTTTTTTTAACCCATGCACTATAAAAGAAAAACACTTAAGTACACTCTGGCATATTTTCCATACACACACACACATATATATATATACCGTTCATATTATATGAATAATAAAACAAAATGCTCTTAATTTATTTTCAAATTAAATAAAATAAGAAGAAAAAATTCTCTCATCCTTATATTTTTTTATATTTTTTTTTCTCTTTGTTTTTTTAATATAAAAACACTTGAACACGTTTAAATTGTATTACGGATGGTTTTCTATACATAACAAAACAAAAAAATAAAATAAAATAAGAAAAAAAAAGAGAAACGGTCATATTTTATAAATGAGAGTATTTTGTATAACATTTAAAATATGTAGGGTAATTAATAATCGATATAAAGTTGAAATTGTTATATTTAAATGAAAAATGAATTTTATATTATTTTCCCAAAAAAAAAATTAATGCATTCTTACACAATAATTTATTTTTCGTGAATTTTGATTCAAAAAAGTATGAAAATTGCCCTCATTATTTTTATCGGATAAATTAATTTGATATTATTTTTATAAATTGTGAATAAATTGATGATATCACATTAATATATTTAAAAAAAAATTAGTTCAATACTTAATTTACGTAATCACAGCTGTCACATCGGCGTAAACTATAATAAAATATATTGTATAACAGTTATATAAAAAGTGTTATACTGTTATATAAATTTAGTTACATATATTTGGTATATGTGTTGTAGCTACGAAAATTTCAAATTTACTTAATTTTCTAAATTATTTATTTTCAATCAAAATTAATTCTGTGTCAACAAGGGAAACAATTTAACTCAATTTCGTATAAAATCAAAATTGAGAAATCAGAATATCATTATTTAAATTCTTCGTAATTAAATCTTTAGTTTAGTAAGTAGCATTTAATCGAAACCTGTAATCTATTTGCATCAATTCAAAGGTAGTTTTTTAGTATAGTTAAATTAAATGTCTCTTTGTTTAATTAATTTAAACTCTTTGTTTAAATGGTAAGATCCTGGTAACAACAATAAATTGCAGTGGTGCAAGCAGGAAAAATAGATTCATAATTGGGGACCATACCGAAAATCGAACCCAGGTTTGCTGAGTGAAAGCCAGCTATCCTAGCCACTAGATCATATGGGATAAAACAAAAACAATATTGTTAAATAGAAATATTTACTTAGACAATACTTACCGAAACACTCCGATTTTGTTCATTTAGATAACATTCAAGTTGCTTTTATTAAGAGTTTTTCGAAGGAAAATAATTTAAAGTAGCTGCTTTAGGCAGCTTCACGTGATTGCTAAACAAATATTTTTTTTTACTCAGAGCTGTTTTTATTAAAATTTATGGTAGATAAAAGTTGGAATGTGAATTTAGATTTAGGTTTAAAAATGCTTTTTATTTTTAATATAAGCTCTTCTACTCACCTCCAAGAAATTGACCCATCTGCCAGGAATCTTTTAAATAAAATTCATTTTAGCTATATTTTTTATAATAGCATCCAATACAATTCCCTGTTAATGGAAACAAAGAATTGGATTCAACATCCTTTGAACATTTTAAGGATTGAATATTCATATGAAAGCATAAACTACAAAGAAAAAAAAAAGTAAAAACCAATCTGTATGAATTTTTTAAATTAAATTCTATGCTTACATATGCAATATTCCAATTATAGAATTTTATTTTATATTTTATTTACCAAAAGAAAACCAAAAAAAAAAAAAAACAAAAAACTTCTTAATACAATTACTAAAACAAAATTTATTATCCTTTTTATGTAATATACTGATGATGTAGCACAACACGTAAATCGAAAGAAAAAAAAATTAAAGAATTTTTTTTTTGAAAAGGAAAGATTTTTCTCAGTTTATTCTTTGTTCTGGTTTTTCTTTTCAATTATTTTTGTGACTTTATTCTCTTTAGCACAAATTTAACATTAAAAGATTTCAACTCTCTAATGTCAAATAGAATAAAATCTTACAAAAAAAAAATCCCTACATATGCACAAACAATTTGTTTTATAATAGAAACTATAAAATTTAATTTTATTGAGTATTTTGTATATATAGATGACTACATAAGTATAATGACTTATAAGGGTTAGGATAAAAATTCATTACTTTCCTAAAAATTGTATTACATTTTTGCATTGGTTCCCTAACACAAAGTCGTTATATCTTTTCTAACCTAAGCCTTGAAATCTTGCATTTTAGGCAATTTTTCTTTTTAAATCTAGACTCAAATTCGATTTAAATCCAGATTAAAAAAATCGTTAATCACTTCAAAAATTTTGAATCTGGCATAGTTGAACTTTCTATTGATTTCAAAAGTGTTAGTTTTTCTATGCACAATCGCTTTATATATCATGCAATTCTTTGGGTAACATACCTTTTCTTATCTGAGGTGCGCTGAAGTTTTTAAAAATTTCGCGCTACAAAATTATATGAATAATATAATGTATTTCAGCATTTGCATACAATTTACAATTTAAGTACGTAATTTAGATAGAAATTTGCTGTGTTAGGACTAAAGTGTGCTGCGATTCACCATAGTACGGTCTATTGTACCACCCAAAAAGGTATTATAGATATAACACTTTCAATACTCACTTTCTTTCGCTTTCCCTCTAAACCTTACATAACATGTTATACCAATCACCAAACCCGAAAAACTTATGGTGTTCAATTCTATGATGTTGAGCTGAATACACCCAGAGATGAATACATCCAGTGAGGCTTTGTGGATTAAAACCTCACGTTCGAGCAAATGGTGAACTTAATCTACAAATGCAATTGTTCTTACAACTAAACTTTCTCAGATACTCACTCACAACGTTGGAAAGTCCGAGCAGAGAGCATTTTCATCTGGTTCCTATTTCTACTTATGATTTATTATAACTCTTCTTATAATAGTCACCCAGAAATTCTTTTGATTGTCATAACATAATATGTTTTCTCTATAATTCCGACCTTCCCCTCTCAATTTCTTTATTACGTATTCTTGGAATCCTTTCTGGCTAATTCCTCAAAAAGAGTATACTCGCTGCCCCCCTCCGCTAGCACGTCGTGCCGTTTTGTCCTGTACGTCCATGTACTATGGTGTAGCACAGATCCACCCGGTTCTACCAATCTAATTAACTTTAGCCTCTCTAAACAGTCCCAATCTATCTAGAAGATGAGAGCAATATACAAGTATTAGTTTATTGCTCTAATAGCAACCTGAATTTCCGAAAGTACCCCTATGTTCTGTCTCAGATGATTCAAGGTTAAAGTTCGCGCACGTGTTAATAACATGCATCCCTATTTAAATAATACACAGTACACTAAACGCTTTAATATGAAAGAAAAATTTTTTTACTTTTAATCAAAAAAAAATATCCTTTAATATCATTAGTTAATTAATATAAACAAACAAAAGAAAAAACAAAAAATAATAAAAACCCAAATTTGATCTCAGGAAAATTTGATTATTATTTAAACACATAC